TATGTCGGAGGGCGGGCGGGCGTGGGGGGCGTCCGATCTTCTCGCCGGCGGGGGCTCGGACGCGTTCCTGCTGGTGTCGGACTACGAGATGGAGGAGGACAACCCGGTGGAGCACAAGTACAGGAAGCTGGCGCACGACCAGCTCAGGGGCCTGGTGGACCCCGAGCTCAAGCCCAACCGCGACGAGAGGCACAGGATCGACGACCTCGTCGCCGGGCGTCAGGACCACCTGAGCATGGAGGACAAGGACCTGCTCTGGAAGTTCCGGTACTGCCTCACGGACAACAAGAGGTGCGGGGGGCGTGGAAGCGCGCTTCTGGTTTTTGAGCGTTTTGGGTTCGTGTTTGCAGCGTGGTGCCTGAATGGCTATACCCCCTCCAAGGCTTGGCGGCGGTGGTGGCTTGCAGTCGAGTCAAATGCGGGAACGGGCTAGAGAAGCGTTTGCCGGGGAACTGAGTTGGGAATTACACAGGCAGTACGTAGTGATTGAGTGATCGCAACCTTAACCTTGCGTACGTGTGACACGACACGACCCTGATGAGGGGCCGCTACACGGGTATGAAGCAGACTCCTTGCTTATCGCTGCCCCACCCCCCCTCCCGCGCAGCCCCTCTTTGCTTTATCCTCGCCCCCCGCCCCCCTTTTGTTGTTGCGTTTTGAAACAACGCCGAACTCCAATCCAGGGCGTTGACCAAGCTGCTTCTCTCGGTGGACTGGGGGGTAGACTCCGAGGTGGCTCAGGTCGAGAACCTCTTGGCAGAGTGGGCCCGGCGAGCTCCCATCGACGCCCCCGACGCGCTCAAGCTCCTCGGCCGCGAGCGAACGTTCCAGGCCGAGGTAGTGCGTCGCTTCGCCGTGGATGCGCTCCGGAGGGCCTCAGACGACGAGCTCCTCGCCTTCCTGCTGCAGCTGGTGCAGGCGCTGCGGTATCAGCCGACCGGAGGGGGGGCGGCGGGGCCGGGTGCAGGCGGGGGTGATGTCGGAGCGGGGGGTGGGGAAGGCGCGGGGGGGGGGGGC